CGCGGCTGGTCGAGGCGCTGCGCCCGCTCGAGCTGCCGATGGTGTTCGACGCGGATGCGCTGTGGCTGCTGACGCAACAGCCTGACCTGGTGAGGGGCTACCACAGCGCCGTGCTCACGCCCAACGCCATCGAGTTCGCCCGCCTCTACAAGGCCGTCATGCATGAGGAGCTCGACGTCGACTGTTACGGCGAGCAGCACGCGCGCGCCCTCTCGCGCGAGCTCGGCGACGTGGCGCTGGTGAAGAAGGGCCACAAGGACCTGCTGGCGTGCGGCGACACCGCGCTGTGGTGCGCCGAGCCCAGCAGTCCGCGCCGCTGCGGCGGCCAGGGCGACCTGCTGGCCGGCACGCTGGGCACGCTGCTCCACTGGACCAGGAGCGCCAACCAGTCGCTGGCCGTCGACCCCCGCCTGCTGGCCGCCTACGGCGCATGCGCACTGACCCGGCGCGCCTCTCGGCTCACGTTTGAGCGGCTGGGGCGCAGTATGCTGGCGAGTGACATGCTGGCGCAGGTGCACCCGGCCTTCGAGCAGCTGCTGGAGAAGTGAGTTGCGCCGGCGGGCGCGGTGGCTGGGTCGGGGGTAGGAGGGGGTAGCGTCTGCCGGTGGGACGCAGCTCGCGCTCACCTCCGGCGCTGGTGGGTTTGTGCTGAAGACAGCAGATGGCGACGGAAGCAGCCAAGTGATATACCGACCGGGCGTTTGACACGGTAATTACCAATTGTCGTGTGGGTTGTTTTAGCCGCAATGCTTCCCGAGATTGCATATCTTCTAATATAACATATTGCTGGAGACGTACTGTTTCCATGTGTTCTTGTTGGTGAACCCAATGATACGGCAAGATGTGAGCGATTACTATTCATTCACAAACGCGCAAAAAAGGTACTGAAGTAACGAATACGGTACGAACACAATCTCATGCCGTCTGTGACTGGCGGACCGACACCAAAGGTAAATCTCGAAAAATGCAGATATCACGGTTTCACCACAATGCGGTACCTACGCGAACAAAATTGGTAACTACTTCGATGACGCCGGAGCCGCAGAGCCTTCCGTGTACATACGCGATCCTCAAAACATTGTGCGTTCCGACCAGATGCCGACAGCTACCTTTTGACGGCCGTCCCAGTCTGAAGTTTGAACATATCTCAACAGTCATCCTAAACACAGTACGACTTGAACCAAGAGACGCCGAATTCCCGGCTGTTGAACAACATACGGACGTAGAACATGGTCTGTTTCCTCCAAAAAGAGGACACGAAGCTCTCTGGCAGCAAGCATTCTGTAGAAGCCATGCAGTGACAGCTTGCAGGAAACAGGCAACAAGCTGATACTCAACACCCGCCGTGGAACACATGAGAGGGATGCCTAAACTCAAAACTACATGAACTTCAACGGTCCAAAACGGACCATAACGACAACAAGTGACGGGTAGCGAAGACAGCGCCAGGTGAAGACCAGACAATACCGCAATGTCTGGGAGCGCTGAGGGTCTCCCGAGCCTGTGTAAGAGGACAACTACACAAAGGCTACAGACAGCCGTGATGTCGTCATTTAGACTGACTAGTCCAGCCGTCTTCACTGGTTACCCTTATCAGCTGACTACGCAGCCTGGTCCAGCTGTTCCATCCCCACTTGGCGCAGACGAGCGAAGCGTTGACATTTCTGTCTCGTGGGGTTCGTAGCACCCCGTCACAAAACCAGCAGCACAGCCAACATCAGAGCCATGCTGGCCAGCTGATGTCAGCCAGTGAGACACACTGCCGTATTTGGAACAGGGATGAGGCGAAATTCGCCACTGTCTCCACCGTCCCTCGCCATTGAAACAGCCATCCATCATCACGGCTCCGTCGCGGCCGAGGCGCATCCGCCCACCTCGTTGGTCCGCTCCAGCCCGTCCCAAAACCACGGCCACCAACTCGCCGCCGAGATCAGTCGCCAGACCGAGGTCTCGGGAGGCCTCGGGAGGCCTCGGGAGGTCTCGGGAGTCTCGAGGCTGGCCAGCTCGGCCTGTAACGCTACCCGAGCTGCGAGCTGTCCCTCCCTTCCGGACTGGGCGCCCGCCTGGCGCCACCGGCGTCGGTGCAGGGGCAGACTCGCTCCGCCACCGGCCGGCGGCGGCACTAGCACCGGTCAACGAACAGCTGCAGGTCGAGCTTGAGGTCGACCTCGCCGCGTCTGACCTCGTGCAGCGCAGTCGCTTGATGATGGGGCCGCGGTAGCGCTGGCTGTCGTTGTGCACGTCCGAGACGCGCAGTTCGGTGCGGCCCAGGAACTCTGCCGCAAGCCGCCACCGGTCAGCGGTGCGCCACACCCACGGGTCACGGATGGGTCGCGGGGTCGGTGGTTTGGTGGCAGGTGTGCTGGGAACAGGATCAGCAAACCCGCGGCCACCCGCGGCCGCCGGCGGCCCAATGGCACTAAAACGGCGAGCGAATAACGCACTCACTACCCACATGTTCCTCACTTCTACGACAGCAACATTTTCAAGCGATGGACCACGGGCCCCACTCCCCCGTCCTTCATTCTAATGGAAGATGATTGCCCAGACTTTCATTCGCAAGCTGCATTGCTGAAGTGAACACAGCCGGTTGGCCGGGGTGCGAGAAGCCTGACTGCGCTTTACGACGCGATCCCTCCCACACACCACCTCGCAGACAGCCACCAGCGTCCCCCTCTCACCGTTGGGCGAGAAATGGTCCCGGTCGAACACCGAGATGCAGAGCACGTCGTCGCGGATGTCCTTGACCAGGAACTGCATGCTGTGGTTCCAGCGCGGGTTGAGCGTGCTCTCGATGACTGGCGTGCGCTGCACCTGGCTGCCCATGGTCAGCTCGCAGTACGGGTCGCTCTTGCCTGGCCGCGAGAGGGAGAGGGGTGAGGCACGGCTCGGAGCGCCCCCTGGCGCGGGCGACCGTGCGTCTCGCTGCTGGCTTACAGACGGAACGCGCCCCGCCCAGTCAGCTCCAGAGGGTGGTCGACGGACGGGTTGTTCCGCAACGGTCTTGTACATCAAGGGATCTCCCGCACTCGGCTCAGATGGACGCTTTGTGAGCGCTTAAACATGTCCCACAGTCACAGTGTTCTGCACATCTCAGTGCGACATCCACCGACGCAGTGCCGCCGCGATACGGTATGATTCGGTCAGGCAAACATTGGCACATGAAGCGATCGAACGGATATTCTTTCGTTCGATGCGAGAAAGGCCCGGTGGAAAATGAGCATGATGAACGCGTGCATTTGCATTTTTGTTCATCGTCCATTTCCAAATGTTTCCAATTCAACGACATCGGTCCCTTCGCAGTTCCATGCGCCCTTGCATTCATGCAGCAAGGTTGAAGTTGGCTCACCAAAAGTGTCATAAAACGTCTCTGAGCATAACGCGTAATCTAAATTATCGGATCCCCTGTTAACGTGCTTGTATCCAGCATTGGTACAGATGCTGCGGAAGGATATCGTTTTAACCATTTCCCGGACAGAAACAACCATAAAACCCCCACACCGTGACAGCACAGCACAGCTCATGCCAAACCAAAGGAACAAAAGGGATCAAGGAACCTTGCCCCAGGACTCCGGTATTCCGATGTGACCAAGTATACAAACCATGAATGGAAGCACACGGCCTAGCTTTTGACCCGGCCGTGTCAAACGGCAAGCAGCAATAAAGCGGCTCGCAACATTGGAACGTTTCACGGAACCATGCACGAATTTCTCAGGTAGTTTCAAGTTACATCTCCCGTTTCAAAGGACTGGACGGGGCTGCTAGTTGTAAGGTAAAGATTGATCCTTAACACGTCATAGACTCTGTTTCGCTATCAAAATCGTGAACGACACGAACATCGAACAAGCTTTTTGTCTCCGACCATTATCAAGTGGGGCTAACTGGCTAAATGTTCGTAGAAACAAAACATTCTCCAGGAGCCAGTCGACATCATTTAAATCGGTCATGTAGCCATTACCATTCCTAGCAAATTTCTCCCTTCAACATAGCGAAACCGCTTGAAACATGTCAAGAGGTGGGCATTTATGGTAACGGATAACATGTCCCTGAAATATGACAATTTCCTTCCGGGAACATTTGAAATTCCACAGCACGAAAAATGTAATGGACGTTTTAGCTGTCACAACAAAACTTTCGACTCAGCTCGGACCAACTCGCGGCAAGGCATCGGGACATCAGGACAAGCATTAGTGGTGCGGCATGCGTGGAAAGGCATTAGTCATATTTACCGTTTCGGTCGCGTGCTTCCAGGTGCGTGGCGCGATACACAGTGACTAGCAAGTGCCCCCGCGGCCGCCTATAGACTAGGGGCAGAGCAGGCAGTCAGCATGCAGCGGGGTGCACACGTGCTTACCGTCTGGCCCGGCGGACACTAGCCGATTGGCCGACATGATGAACACCAGGAGGCGGCCGCACGCGGCAAACTTGGCCTCCCCTGCGTCCCAGGCCCGGTTAGCGGCACGCACCACACACGCCGGACACGCGCCAGGCGGCGGTGAGGTGGTAGACCAGACCGGAGGCTATGTCGGTGTCTCAGGCGTCGGTGCAGATAAATGTGGGGTAGATACTCAAGAATACAATTGTCGGAGCATGTCAGCTAGACTGTGATATTACCATACCAAACGTCATGTCTCCCAATGCAAGCCTCGGCACTGAGACGCGTCGATTCATTGAGACAGTTCAAAAATATTTGAGAAGCTTCGGTTATGACAGGAATATTTGAACAGTTTCGCCGATCTGATAGTTCCATTCAGAGCAATGACTATTTTAGCCTCCCGAGCCAGCAACACACCCCACCCACCCTCAATCGTGCAACTCAACCCCAGCCCGCGCACCGCCCGCAAAAATGCATCACACCACGCACGTGTCTGCGAGGTGCGCCCACCCGCCACGCTCCCTCCCCTCCCGTGTCCCGTCCGGCGCGCGCGAGCGTCGGCGACGGCGGCCGTCACTCACGAGAGTGCTGCCGCTGCAGCTCGCACTGCTCCCGGCTCTTGAACGTTGTCCTGGGCGGCCAGCAGCTGCTTCAGCCAGAGGTCGCGCGCCACACGATTGCTTGCGGTCAGCGAGATCACGTGACCGGAACAGGTCAGCACAGCGCGTCCGAGTCGTCCTCCGGCGGCGACACCTCCAACTAGCCAAGGAACAGTAGGCATGCCGGTCAGGGCCGCGTGAAGTCGGACGCCGCCGCTGGCAGACATCCAGGGTCTGCTGTCACAGCTCTGGGAGGTGTAAGCCCGGGCGGGTCGTGGTTTGATGGAAACAGTGTAAGCTGCTAAGTTAGGGGACAGAACCAATGTTTATCATTTCCGACATATCCGTATCGCGCAGTGCCACGCGAAGTTGAAAGTCGCCAAGAGATTATCAACCATTGCCAACGTACCGAAATATTGGGACAAAAATGTAAGATACGGTTTTGAGCTTAATCCACGCTGCCTCTCCCCCCGCCCCCTCCCCCCCCCCCCAACCGCCACCACCGTAAAGGCAGGCAAAATAATGGCCAATCCCAAGGAGGCGCTCGTTAACGCCAAAAAAGCGCATCCTCGCTCATGGCATTTCCTCCCATAAAAACTAAAGAAAAAAAAACAATGCTAAAAGACCCATCCCGTGCAGCCCTTGACAAAACGTCCGTCTGTTATCGTTAGCCCCAACAATATTAGTTTTTTAGAAGGCGGGTGGATAGGGAGTCTCTGCATCCGGTGAAGGAGAAAAATTTCGACGAGAAAACAAAAAGGTCAGGCTCAACCTCGGTACAAACCCGAATAACTCATTTTCTCACCTTTTTGTACAATTTGAACTTGAGGTTGGAGAGATTCCTGTCGAACTCCAGCTGACTCACATTGCCCAGCGGCTTTCCGGGCGTGGTCAGCATCACGAAGTCGTTTGAAGAGAAAAGCTACCACCTCTCTCCCACTCTTAGTCTGAAACACGGCCTCGCGCGCTACAGCTGGATCCTTACATCACGCCACGAGTTGCAACAGCAGCCACTAACAACGCAACTGCCATCGATGTAAGTTTGGCAGTCCTGTTCCTGCATCACCATCCAACATTCAACACTGAAATATTTCGCGGAGGTAAGAGGGAAGATACTTGTTATACGAGCCATGTCAACAAGATAAGTTACCACCATGGACAAAAGGTGTCAAATGCGCCGCGGGGACAAGAACGAACAAAAAGCCTGGCATCACCGACGCTCGTCCAGCCGTGCCACAGCCTCCCAGCGCCGGGTCGGCCAGCTGCGGCGACAACGGACCTTCTTCAGCAGGCCGAAGTGGATGAGCCGGCGCGGCCCGGCCGAGTTGGTCATGGAGTTGAAGACGATGCGCTCGGGGATGTCGGAGCAGTCGATGTGCTCCTGCATCCACTCGAGGCGGTCCGAGTTCTGCTGCTCCCGAACGCCCTCGTTCACCTGACCGCGCGGCGGAGAGCGTCGATCCACGGCACGGCACGGCACGACACGGCACAGCACGGCGCGGCACGTCGCGTCTGGCGGTTCCATGTCCGAGCGACACATGGTGACACTGCTCCGATAAGACGGCGGCATCCTGGGCCAGAGCACCACGACACGTCTGGGTGCATCGAAGACGGCACTACCACGATGACATGGCGACGATCAAGAGCACCACTCATTAAGTGCCACCCGGCGCTCATCGAGGGACACCGTGCACAAGCCAGCAGTGCTGTGCTGAGACCTTTTTAGGCCCGGTTCGAGTCCCCAAACGGTCACGTGACCGGCGGCCGGCCGGTGCGCACGCCGCCTCACCTCTCTGCACAGCTCCTCGGCCCGGACCAGCGCCTCCTCCAGGTTCGCTCGGTCCGGGTGGCCGGCGCCGGTGTACTTGAGAATCTGGCGAATGACACGTGGTCAGCACAGGGCAGGCGCGCCGCGACAGAACACAGAGACACGTGCCAGAGGGTGCACCGCTGCCGGCCGTGGTACTCAACGGTGCTCGTGGTAGCCCTCGCGACAGCGGAGATCGAGCTGGGGGTATCTGGTGAAGCACTAGGTGCGTCCGATCACTGACCTGTTTCAGCTCAGCAGGGGGTACTTGGTGACGCGCTGGGTGGGTCTGACCTTTGACATGTTTCAGATCAGCAGGAGGCACTGGGTGGGTCTGATCACTGACCTGTTTCAGCAGCAGGGGGCACTTGGTGAAGCGCTGGGTGGGTCGATCACTGACCTGTTTTAGCAGCAGGGGGTACCTGGTAAAGCACTGGGTGGGTCTGATCACTGACATGTTTCAGCAGCAGGGGGTACTCGGTGGCGCGCTGGGCAGGTCTGACCACTGACCTGTTTCAGCGGGGGTACTTGATGACGCGCTGGGTGGGTCCGATCAGACCTGTTTCAGCAGCACGGGGTACTTGGTGACGCATTGGGTGGGTCCGATCACTGACCTGTTTTAGCAGCAGGGGGTACCTGGTGACGCATTGGGTGGGTCCGATCACTGACCTGTTTCAGCAGCAGGGGGTACTTGGTGACGCGCTGGGTGGGCTTGAGCAGGAAGCTGCTCAGCGGCATACCGGCGGCCCGCGGGTCGCTCTGGCAGCGGCGCACGGCCTCGTCAAAACGCGGGTATTGCACTTTGCGTTGCAGCAGCGTGGCGGCGCGCAGCTGGCAGCTGCAGAACCGCATGTAGGACGTCATGTTCGGCAGCTGCAAGAAACGAGGAGGCACATTAACGTTCTGCAGTCTGGAGGCGGCACGATAGGTGGCGCGTTAACGTTCTATAGTCTGAATCTGCATCGGATGGAGACCAGCAAGTGATGTGCAGTATTGAGGCGTCGCAAACGACGTAAACGTGGTATGACCATGAAGGAAACACTTTGGCTATAAATTCAGGTCCTGTAAAACTCACTCAGAACCGGAGGCAGAGAAAGACAGAGCTAGACCAGGAAAAATGTCAATCCAAGTGCGAGCAGCTTGAATGGAAAGCCAACCCAAAGTCCCACCAATCCACAGTTCCGTCAACCGTTCGCCAAAAGCCCCACAGAATCCACGGAAGCTCCAGCCGTTTCATGTTCCTGTTCCACCAGACAGCGCCCCATGTCCAGACGTCCCGCGTCTGTACCGCGTCGGCCGTCTCGGCGGTGCTCCCGGCATCGACTCACGTTCTCGCACAGGATGTCACCGATCAGGTGGATGACGCCGCCAGCCGACATCTTCCGACGCACGCGGAAGGCCACCATCAGCTTCCGGCTCGCCTTGACCAGGTCAGGCCAGTTGACGAACAGCACGCGCGCCTCCTCCCGCGTCAGCACGCCTTCCGACACCAGGGGGCGCCGGAACACCTGCGGCAGAGGGAGAGGGCACGCTCAGGGACGGACGACACCAGGGGGCGCCGGAACACCTGCGGCAGAGGGGAGGTCACGCTCAGGTACGGACGACACCAAATGCGCCAGAACATCTGCGCGAGAGGGGAGGGCACGGTCAGGAACGGACGACACCAGGGGGCGCTGGAACACCTGCGGCAGAGGGGAGGGCACGGTCAGGGACGGACGACACCAGGGGGCGCCGGAACACCTGCGGCAGAGGGAGAGGGCACGGTCAGGGACGGACGACACCAGGGGGCACCGGAACACCTGCGGCAGAGGGAGAGGGCACGGTCAGGGACGGACGACACCAGGGGGCACCGGAACGCCTGCGGTAGAGGAGACCCCGCTGGGCCATCTGACAGTTCACAGCAGCCCGCCAGTCGCAAATCTCGATAACATTCGAATCCAGTGCTGACGAGAATACCAGCGACGTCGTCTTCAGTGTACCTTGTTTACAAATTGGGAACCCGTCTGAAGGCCCACCACAGCTGTCAGCGTCCGAATGAAGTGCCACTTTGCGCTCCTGAGATAAGCGGACATTCACATCGGATGTTGCCAGGCGAGAACTTTACACGTCGTTACGGCGAGGTTCGTCACAGTTTGACTGCCCGGCTCTACAAACGGCGGCGGTCGCGGGCCGCTGGGAAGGTCAGAGTGCGGCACACAGCCGGCCGCCGAGACTGACCTCTGTGACGAGCGACATGCTGGTCAGGTAGCTCTGCTCGCTGTCGATCAGCTCGGCGATGGCCTCCTGGCGCTGGCGCTCCTCCTCGCTCGGCGGCGGCTCGTGCGGCGAGCGCGGCGCCTCCTCCTCCGCCGGGCTGCCGCCGTGCTCGGACCAGCCCGGCGGCGAGTCGGCCTCGTCTGGAGAGCGGAGGCGCGCCGGTGGTCAGCTGGGCCACCCCACCAGCGGCGGCGCTGGGCCGGCGCAGTGGCCAGAGGTGGGTGTGGGTCAGACTGGGAAGCGGCACCGGGGCGTGTGGGTTCCTCATTTGAACCCAAGCAGCCGTCCTCACGACACAAGGCACGTACAGGGCTTCGTGGGGACCGGCAGCGCCCAGCACCATCTACCATGCATCAATGCACGTGCCAGGGGGCTTACACGCGTGGTAGCGCTGTGAGACCACGTCATGAGACCAAGTGGCGCGTGGGCCGTGGCCACGCGCGCAGCCAGCCCACAGTATAACTAACCACTAGCGCAGCCTCTACGCCGGAGGGATCCGGTCGTCGGCATGGGGACACGACGAGCTTGCGAGCGTGCCCGCGATCCGTGCGGACCGCCGTGGCGGTGCAGCAGAGTCGCCGCCGTCCGGCCGGGGCGGCGCCCCCGGCTGCGGGGGTCGGCTGGGAGTAGACAAACGCCCAGACGACTCCCGGCATCAGTGTACAGGCGGGCCTGAGTGGCGGCACGGTGACACTGGACGGGCGCGCGGCGGGGACGTTGCGTCGCAGCCGCGAACAAACCCACCAGAACGCGCCAGTCAACGCGGGCTAAAAGGCGACCGGGTTGGTACAGCTGGCACCTAAGTCTGTAGGAACCCCAACAGACTCGCCCTTGCCCGTGCTGAGCTAAATCCCAACCACTGAAAACGGCTCCACGTCCTGTGTAAACGCTGTCTTCACGCAGCGTTATTGGCCGTTATCGACAGCTGACGTCGCCGCCCCAGGGCCTAACGCCCACTTGCCGTCCAGCGATCTCCTAAGAACCCAGTGGTCTTATCACCACCGGCGGGAGACGACACACACCGCCGAGTGCATTACCGTGTATTACACCGACACATAATACGGGGGCAGCAGGCAGCGACGCCGCGACAGGCGAGCAGTGGAAGAGGCCGTGGCGAGGTCACAGGACGGCCAGCTGCGCCAGCACCGCTACCCGCGCCCCACACCGAATAAATAACACTAGGATAACGTGGAAATCGTATCACCCGACTAATCCGCGGAGCCACGCACCATCGAGGCTACTGGCACACTCGTACGAACAGCGTGTTCCACGACAGAGCGAGTGGTATTATGCGTAGAGAGTGCCACGACGGGTCTACGGTGTGCAGCAGAGCAGGCTGCGCGGCTGGCAGCGTCCTCCAAGCGTACAGCGGCGTGTGGCGAAGACATGACTAACTGTGTGCCCCGACTGATTGCGGTAGGAAACCAGCAAGCAACCCAACTAAGCGCCATTAAGAGCCGCCCAACCAGCTCAGTGAGGATCGCATTGCGGAAGGACGAGCCGACAGAGCAGGGTACCCTCAAGGGGTGCAGAATGTTCAACGCTTCTGATCACCTAGAATCAGCCGATACCCCAGAGGTGCTAAGGAAATGCAGGAGGCCCGATGACCGAGCGTGAGGAATCACGCCGCGGCTAATCCGGATATACAGCGAGTCTAAGACCATATAGTCACGTAACGAACCGGGTATTATCAGATTAAACAGTTGTATGACCAGGCCGTCAGGAGACGCAACGGTATAGTGAGACACGTCAGCTTCCCATCATCATAATCTGGATAATAGGCGGCCTATGAAAATCCCACGGTGCTTACAGCGCCATAAACAGTGAACGAACCGCTGCGGGGTCAGCTCGTCGCCATATGTAACCAATATGCACCACCGATTTCTGCCTTAGGAACAGGGCAGTATATAACTGGGAAACCAAGTAACTGGCTCATGACATGTCACTTCGCACGCTGTTCATTCAAACAGAATAGCCAATAACCTTGTTTGAATCCAACGCTACCCATGGCACATACCACGTTCCGCGCGCCTACCCGAACCTCCACAACCAGAACCACGCACAGTGATATAAACCTACATCACCACGACTCGCTACGCATCCACTCCACCGGCGACTATCTTGACTCAAACAACATCAAAGGTACACAAATGGAATAATACGACGGCCTCTGACGACCGCCCTCGCCTCTACCAGCAGCACTCTACCGAACAAAAGACGGATAAACGCGGCCTCTGTTTAAGCGTAATCCAACAACAGACTGAGCCTGGCATCCAGTCGCCCGCTCCCTCGCATCACCACCGCCGGAGCGGCGACGGCCACAGCGCAACTCAGATCTCGTGTCGGAGCGGAGCGGGCGCAGCGCGGCGGCCCAACCAAGCAAAACGCGTCAACCAACCGTAAAACCGTCACAACAAAGCCGCCGGCGGGCCGAGCGCCGAGTGGGCGCCGGCCGGCGGAGCTGCCGCCGCAGGTGAGAGCGCTACGCTACAGACAGACGGCGGGAGAGGGAGCGCGCGCCCGCGGCTGGCGCCGGAACGGGCCGCGACTCTGACGGACAGCCACGAGCCGACACAGACGAGACGACACCGACAGACGCACAGGCGCGAGAGAGAGGAGAGAGCGCGTGAGGGCGAGACGGCGACCGCGGCGGCCGGGGTCGACAGAGGTCGAGGCGGCGCGACGGCGCGGCGGCCGCGCGCCGCCAACAGTCAGCGTCTAACCAGTCAGTCCTGCGGAACAGAGTCCAGCGTCAGAGGGCGTTCCACGGGCGCCGCGGCGCGGCCGGCGGAGCGCAAGGGGGGGGGGGGGCTCCAAGATAGTTTACTTCGAGATGACTTGTGCAGACAGGCCGGATCTCAGCAATGATTTACCGTCATACTCCGCAAACATGAAATGGCACGTCAAGTCAATAGATGAAGCCCACTGCTGCCGTGCAGGTATTGTGGCATTGTTGATAGCTAAGCTAGAAGCCTGGTTAGAGCAGGACTCGGAACGGCCACGGTTGCTGCATGCGGACTGTGGAACGCCCTCGTCACCGTGTCTGCCGTCGGCGAGCGTTTGTCCGCTACATGTCCAGCGACTCTCAGCGAGTGCACGTGTCCACATGGCACAGAGGCTGAGCTACGGTGCGCATGCGCATTCATCCACACAGCAAACCACACTGGACCAGAGGGTGCGAGCGAACCCCTCCGGCGCCGACGGCTGTCACTGACAGAACGGTCCAAGGGTCACGAAGCATGTCTGAACGACGGACGTCTGTCTCAGGCCGAGCCGACGGTTTACCACAGATGACAACAGCCGTGCCACTAACACAAAACACCAAGGACGGGGATCTGGGAGGATTCTGCCAGGATCGCAGGGGGTGTGCAACAAATTGCGTGCTGGCCAGTCATTCGTCGTCGGTAGGTCAAACCTCCCGCTACAGTCCGCTGCCCACTACTGCACCGCGCCAGTGCCGGGAGTACTCAGCCGTTCGCGTACTCACATTGGGCCGTCTTGGGCGCCACGTAGTTGGAAGGGAAGAGGCCGACGATGCCGTTCAGCTCACCCTTCCACCAGGCCGTGTCGTCCTGGAGGCAGGGGGCGGGACCGTCGGGTTACGAGCCGCCACCCGTCCCCGGTCCGGGGGATACCACGAGCGACGACACACCACAGTCCCGCGCCCCTCGGTTATGTCGCGGCTTCATCGCAAATGGCACACGCGAAAGCCAGATGCGATTCACGGCACAGTTCGACCGACCGCCGTGGTCTCGCTTTCGGTCTCCCTCGCGGCGCGCTGTTCCGGCTGTTCTGCTTCACCTTGTTGACGACGGAGATAACGTCGTCGGCCTGGAACGTGAGCTCGTCGTCGTTCTGCGCCGCGTACGGGAACTGGGCCACCACCAGCTCTGAAACGTCACGCCGCCTTCAAAACGCCTGCTTACGCGGCGAATGAACCTCATAAATACCGACATGAGGGTCACACCAATACCCCATCAAACAAAACATTAAACGGCTGACAACTACTTGGCAACAAACGGCTTTCACAAACGCGACAAAAAAATACAAGTGCACCCCGACGACTGCAAAAACGGTTTAAAAAACTGGAGTCTATCGCTTCCAAAACAAGCCACAAAAAGCCAGCGTGACCTCCAGAAAAACCGCAGTACACGCTGCCACTCCGGGCAGCAAACCCCGTGCCTACGTCGCTTCAGGCAGCTGCATCACGCCGTCGTCTGCCTCCCTCGCCCTCCCTCGCCCGCGTGACCCCGGTCGGTGCGCGGCACCTTTGGGCGCGCCGGGGTGGGGCGCCGGCGCGTCTCCCGGACACTGATCGTCGGGCATCGGTGGCTCCGTCTGCCTCCCCCCCCCCCCCCCCCTGCGTGGCTCCGGTCCGGCGCGCGGCACCTTTGGGCGCGCCGGGGTCGGGCGCCGGCGCGTCTCCCGGACACTGCGCGTCCGGCATCGGTGGCTCCGTCTCGTCCGGGATCGACATGCGGCGCGACGTCTTCAGCTTAACGAAGGACGCCGGGAACCAGCCCACCTGGCGCTGCTTGCCGCGCATCTGAGGAGCAGGCGGACGGGTCAGCGCCGGGCCGCCGGGTCGGCACCGGACGGGTCAGCGTCGGGCCGCCGGGTCGGCACCGGACGGGTTAGCGCCGGGCCGCCGGGTCGGCACCGGACGGGTCAGCGCCGGGCCGCCGGGTCGGCACCGGACGGGTCAGCGCCGGGCCGCCGGGTCGGCACCGGACGGGTCAGCGTCGGGCCGCCGGGTCGGCACCGGACGGGTCAGCGTCGGGCCGCCGGGTCGGCACCGGACGGGTTAGCGCCGGGCCGCCGGGTCGGCACCGGACGGGTCAGGGCACCATTGAAGTACGGAGGCTATGCACTGCGGAGCCTGCCGTAGACTGGAATGGTTGAAGGGAGTGTTTTCACATTTATATGGGGTTTTGAACTGAAATAGCTATCCTGAAGACCTTTCGATCCTGTCCACAATCCTGCCCTTCTTCAGGCCTAAGCCCCTCTAGTTTCTGAAACACACGCCCGTGAGAATAATGAAACGTAGTGCGTGCGGGGGGGGGGGGAGGGGAAAGGGGAAGAGGTAGTAACAACCCAGTGAGGTCAGCACTGGATTGGGAGAACAAAACTGATTTGGGAGTAAGGGGCCAGAACATTTCTTCCATGGACAAGCGAGTTCCTCACTGAAGAAGTCAGTAACGGACCAGAAGGGTCAAACACGGATTGAGAAGCATGGGAGTTACCTAGTGAGATGAGGTGTGCAGCACAAGCTTTTACACATGAAGCATAGAACCATCCGCAAAGTTGACTGCAACGTCACTTGACTGTCAGCACTTGCTCCCAGATGCTAGCTGGCTTGGATGGCACCGGTCCGGCCCGATTACCGTCGGCCGTCCCAACACCCCGGGGCCTCACCTGGATCTCGCCCTCCCACCAGCACGGCCCGATTACCGTCGGCCGTCCCAACACCCCGGGGCCTCAACTGGATCTCGCCCTTCCACCAGCACGGCCCGATTACCGTCGGCCGCCCCCAACACCCGGGGGCCTCACCTGGATCTCACCCTCCCACCAGCCCGTCTCCGACTTCTTGCGCACCATGACCAGCTGGCCGCGGCCCGAGCGTCAGCTGCTCGGAGCTGGTGGCCTCGTAGGGCGCGATCGCCACGGCCACCTCGCCCTTCCGCTTCTGTGGCAGGTTGGCGGGCCCGGTCAGCTGGCGCCGCGGCCGCCGGGGCTCGGGCCCGCGCCGCCCGGCGCGGGCCGGCTGTGACCGTGCTCGTGACGCGCTGGACGCGGATGGTGCGCGCGGCAGGTGGAGCGGGACGGACGGAGCGACGGCGCGGAGGAACTGGAGACGTGGGTGGAGTGATGCGCCACGTAACGACAGGACTCGGGACACGTCCGGTCTCTGACAGAGGGGCATGGCCGGGGCAGCGGCACAGTGCGAGCAGGCATCATCAATGTATGGTGAATGCATGATGACCTAAACGCAACCGTTTGTGGTGGACATTAATGTGACATGAGTAAAGTTATCCAGCCCCATACCCAAGGTATATATATATATATATATATATATATATATATATATATATATATATATATATATATATACGGCGTATATATGTATATACATGCCCTGGATGGAAACTTGTCGAGGTGCATGAAATATTTCTATGTCACGCACTGCGTGGGTTAGAACGATCATGAAATGGAGCACCAATGAAAAGAATACGGATAGCACGAATATATGCTGCGGCGACAAAAAGAAATTAGGCATTTACAACGCACACCTGGATATTACAGACGTAAAGTCTGTGGCCATCAAGCAATCGCTGAAACCACAAAGCGACAAAATGCCCGTGATTAAGCTCAGTTGCAAATGAAAGTTGGCAGACGTCACATGCAGGAACAGATCAGGATGCTCGAGCTTCGTAACACCGCCAAACGGCGATACTGCTGGCGACGTTGAAACATGATTAATTTAACGCATATCAAAGGCACTGATAGAGAAACGCAGTGCTTTCAATAACCAGTAATGGGCGATGTTAAAGCCTGAGCGTATATCAATGGTCGTAATTTGGGGCCAACCGAAAATGCTCTGACTTTAACAATCGACATACTACCTGTTTAAAACACTGCGTGTCTCTTAAACTACAATAGTGTAATTGGAATCTGCTCTGCATTGCAACATTCTATGTTATGAGCATGCACATAACAGTAGCGCACATGCAGTTGGGGCCCTGCGCGCGCTGTGGGGTCCTGCCCCTCAGTCTCGCTATGCCCTGCAGCTTAACGATGCGGAATAAGCTTTAAGTAGGTGACCGGTGTTGCCGACTGCGTGGCAAGACTGCCGAGGCCGGAGGAGCGCGTCCCAGCTGACGGAGCGGCCGACGACGACACTCACCCTCCCCAAGCCGGTCACTGGACTCAAACCAATCGACTGCTCTCAACGACACACGATAAACAACCAAGCAACACGGCAAAATCGCTGCCTACGCCAAAATAGCGCGAGAATACATGTGCACAGATCCTACGGTTGACACCACGATCCCATCCGGTTCCATGCTTATGGGATACTGGGATCAAATCCTGAGATGGGGCTCTATGTGCATGCTTGGCGCTGGCATCGCCTAACTGAGCTATCGGCGCACAGCCGCGCGCCGCGGCGGCCAGAGCGGCGAGCCGAGCCAGCGGCCGGCCGCCAAGCCCCGCCTCACGCCGAGGCGGCGCCAACGCAGGCGTCGGCTCACTGTACACTACACAGCCGCCAACGGCACCGGTCTGCATGCCGAGCGGGGTGCGGGTACGGGTGCGGGTACGGTTGCGGGTGCCGGTGCCGGTGCGGGTGCGGCTGCGGGTGCGGGACTGCGGCGCAGCAGGCCCGCACGGTACCTTGACGCTGGGCGCCCGGCAGACCCCGGTCGCTTTGGGAGGCCGGCTGGGCTCGGGCTGACGCGGGACGGGGCGGACAGACACAGGCGGGCTGTTAGCGACGCTCCGTACGGCGCTCCGACAGGCGCGGACGGGCGGGTCTTTAGCACAGGGCGCGCGCAGGCGGGGCGGCGAGGGCGACGAGCAGCCGCCACGCGGCCGACAACGTCGGGTCTACGTTGTCGCGCCACGGGACGGGGGCGTGAAGAAGATGGCTGGGAAGGTTGCAGCCGTCGGAAAACTGCTATTTCTGTCGTCCCGTGAATGCCTCGCTAAGGACCGGTGAGGCAAGACGGAACCGAGACGAGGAGGAGGAGGGAGGAGGAGGAGGAGGAGGAGGAGGAGGAGGAGGAGGAGGAGGAGGAGGAGGAGGAGGAGGAGGAGGAGGAGGAGGAGGAGGAGGAGGAGGAGGAGGAGGAGGAGGAGGAGGAGGAGGAGAGGAGGAGGAGGAGGAGGGAGGAGGAGGAGGAGGAGGAGGAGAGAGGAGGAGGAGGAGGAGGAGGAGGAGGAGGAGGAGAGGAGGAGGAGGAGGAGGAGGAGAGGAGAGAGAGATAGAGGAGAGAGATGAGAAGGAGAGAGAGAGAGAGAGAGAGAGAGAAGAGAGAGAGAGAGGGAGGGAGGAGGGGGAGGAAAGGAGGGAGGAAGGGGAGGGGAGGGGAGGGGAGGGGAGGGCCGAGGGGAAGGGCGGGGAGGTGAAGTGATTCTCGGGGATTCCGTGGGGGCAGGAGCTAGAGGGGGCCGCAGGGGACTCGACGGGACCTGAGGGGATCGGGGCCGCACGGATCCACGGGCCGCTGCCAGCGTTGTGCAGTCAGTCCCAAGGGACACCCGGGACAGGATGCTACAGGGCACTGATGTCAGTCCAGGGCTACCGGGCACCAGGGAGGAGGGGGGGGGGGGGGGGGGCGGGGCGGGGAGGCAAGACAGCAGCGAGGGTAGGAGGCCACACCGGCGGCGCCCGTTTGCCAGTTAGCAGTTCGCCGGTCACAATACAAGCGGTACAATGTTCACAGCACAAGCCGCCCGCTGATACCGGTGTACACGGACAACGTAACCGCCCGGCACAGGAGCCGAGAAGAGAGGCATGACGCAGCTCTAGCCAACAAAGCAGAGTCGCCGCACAGAGCTGAGAAGGCGGTGGTGACACGCGATGGGACACCGAGACTAGGGACACAGAGCCCGAGGCCGCCGCGGAAAAGACATGCCCGCGGCAAGCCGTCAGTACTTTCCTTGTCTCTCCGCTCTGGCACAGGAAGTAGGTTAGGCCCTACGTTCTGAACCTAGAAACGGTTGCAGCAGCATTGATTGACGGCGAGCGTTTCCACGCCGCCGTGCGTTCAAAAAAGACATGTACCAAGGAATTGGCGCAGCGTTCGTGACAACTGCCGTGCTTTAAATGGCTGCCTGTTCGTTCTCAACCTTTACGTCATGACGCTGGTCTCGAAAACATGGGGACACATCTGCCCAACGGCAAGATCTGCCCAAGAAACATCCGATAAACATCCAGCCCAACACCGCCGGGCAGACGACGACACCGAAGTACACAGACTCCATGAGACGGCACGAACACCTGGGAGCTACGCACGCCCTCCAAGCAGCCCGCACAGCGAGTCAACAGGGACCGGATCGCGACGCCGCCGCACCGGCCGCGGTGCAGACGTGCCCACCACCAGAGCACCAGTGACACCACCAGCCGCGGCCCCGGCACCGGCCGCGGTGCAGACGTCCCCACCACCAGAGCACCAGTGACACCACCACCCGCGGCCCCGGCACCGGCCGCGGTGCAGACGTGCCCACCACCAGAGCACCAGTGACACCACCACCCGCGGCTCCGTCTCGCTCTGCCACACACCTGGTCGGCCTGCCCGCGCTGCTCCATGATGAGCGGCGACGGCTGCGGCTGCGGCTGCGGCGACGGCTCCGCCTCCTGTGACCACCGGCCGGCCGGCACGTTAGTGTCACGCCCGCGGCCTCCCACGCCCGTGGTCGGCCCTGCGCGCGCGCGACGACACCTACCTGGGCGACGGCGGCGGAGGCGGCGGCGGCGGCGGCGGCGGCGGCGGCAGGGCCGGCGCTGGAGGCTGCGGCTGTGGAGGACGTCTGGTCCCAGGCAGCGGGGCGGACCAAGCAAGCTGCGTGTTAGCTAGGGGCGGGCGCCACAGGCGCAGTGTGACCGGGCCACTGTTTCCGCAGCCACCCGAATGGTCTGTTCACACGGGCTGCTTTTCGGGACGCGCGTCGAACGCGTGAAAATACGTGACGTCATGAGAAAACGTGTGACGCATGGTACATGCCCGCGTGTTCTGTGGTACATAAGCTGCAATCCAAGACGGGCTTCTCGTCGCAATTCAGTTTAAACTGGAATAGAAGACGGCCTTCTCGTCGCAAGGTAAGTAATATGCTAGTTCCAAATGTTCGCCTAAACCATCGGGTCAACGTACAGGAATAAAAGAAGGTGGCACCCCATAAGCTGCCACCAATCGTCCAGAAATATGATTGCCATAGATTGCGTACCAGGCTTTGAACATGCAGTTCAAACTTCCGAGCTCCCCTGCTCGAAAAGAACGCTCAGCGTGACTAGACGAAAGATGGGAGACGAAAGCACGTCTTATGTGCAGTGGCGACAGCTGCCCAAAAGTATAACGCCTTTATCAAAAGTACGGCGCCGGCAGATGTACGACGGAAGCGTCGGACACGCAAAAAACGCACGTGTGAACAGACCGTAACATGCACGCAGCACGGGCAAAAACGTCCGTCGAGACAAAGTGACGAACGAAATGAGACTGGTGCGGGTGGCTGCAGAAACCGCGCCGGCGTCGGCGGATGCCGTTCGTGTGTGCGCACGCCCGGGTCAGTCTGTCGGCGTGCAGTGAACACCGGGTTAGCGGCACACCGCGGCCCGGGGCCGGCCGGTACCGTGCGGACGTCGCCCGCGTGCCGCAGCCCCACTGGCGCCCAGCGGCCCCGGCGCGAGCCCGGCCCGCCCGGCGTCGGCCCGCCGCCGACCCACCTCGATCTGCTGCACGTAGTTGGAGGGGAAGATGCCGGTGACGCCGTTGAGGGTGCCCGTCCACCACTCGCCATGCTTCTCGGTGACCTGGATCACGTCGCCCTGCTGGAAGAGCAGGTCGCCCGGCTCGGTCGACTCGTAGGTGTACAGCGCCACGTGGCGGCCTGCGGGCGGGCGGGGGACGGGTCACGGAGAGGACGCGCCGGGAGGGCGCACAGACGCGCCGCGCCCGGTGCGTCGGCTCCGCCAGCAGTCCGGAGCCGCGGCACGCCAGTTTGGAGCTGCATCGAAGAGCTGTCGCAGTGCACTCCGGAACCAACAGCCGCGCGAGTCTACGTTCGAAAGGCGATTGGTGGGCGTGACGGACGCCACGCGGGTGTCACAAGTGGTTACGCCAAGGACAGCGTCTTTCCTGAGCAGAGGGTACGTACTGGCCCCGGAAGCTGGCTGCGGCCCGGTCGCCGGAGCCTGCGAACGAACGAGACAGCTGTCAGACGCTGCCGCCGTCACCGACACCGACCTCGCACAAGACATCAAGCAAACACGTGGACGAAGGCTAGAATAGAGTTATCTGTCTGCCACTCTCGGCGTTGACTTCACGCTATATTGACACTACTGACTGCAAGCCGTTCATTTCATATGTTGTATAGGATTTCAGCTTTGTCCCCCTCCCTTCCCCCCCCCCCCCCCTCTCCCCACATCAGCGTTACGGCGAGAAGCGTGCTGACACCAGCTGGTTCAGACGGCTGTACCTGTTCCGTGTCTGAGGCGGGCGGCGCCGGCGGCTCTGCCGGCTGGCCCGGCTCTTCTGGCTGAGGACGGGGGCACGCGTGCCGCGTCAGCCGCCAACCAGGCCCGCACACAAACGCGTGCACACGCAGGCGCGCACCGGCGCGCCAGTAGCAAGCGCCGTGAATCCCAAGCCGGTCATTGGTGGGCAGCGGTGAGAGCGGCGGGCGGCAATATCTCACCTCCATGTGGGACTTATTAACGGGCAAGTTGGAGCTATTAAAAGACGCGAAGCGCCCACAACAAGTGGGCAGTTGTGAAAATGATTTGAGTGCAGTTATATAAAACCTACGACGCTCAAGTTGTCTTCGCGTTATGCGCAGCACGACGGCGCTTACCAACGTGCCCGATCCAAGCCACAATTTGGTGTAGCCAATCTACGTAGGCAATATCACAGCACAAATTTCGGCCACATTAAGGTGAAACAACGCCTCCGAGTTGCTGCCAGAAGCGGCAGTCTCAGCGTTCGCCACCGGCGGCAACACACAAGGTTAGGCCGCCGGGAAGTGCGCGGGGTATCGTCAGTACCATGTCCGAGGTAGCGCAAAGGTGCGTATTTACAAGGCAAACGGAGACAAACCAACAAAAGGACTTCGTGCAGGATGTTGGTGCTCAACAGTAACAACGGACCCTGTGTTGTCCAACAAACGCTCGGCCGTCCGTTAAGTGGCCGGAAATGCCTACACCACCCACACACGCGCACACACACACACGCCAACGCAGGACAAACGGAAAGCCCGCAGTGCCAGGTGCCGGGACCGGGGACAACACTAGCGGCGGCCCCGCCCCAGCGCGAGTCGGCCCCCTCACCTTCGCCAGAGGGACGAAACCACCACCCCCCACACACGGCGGGTGAGTTTCACCCGTCTCACCTGGGCCGGAGCGTTCTCGCCGTTGAAGGCCCGCGCCGCGCCCTCGACGAGCTGCAAACACAGAGCAGACCGTCACCGACACCGACGGCGAGCCCGTCACGCCGCGGGACGGGGCCGGCCCACCGGCTGGCGCGCGGCCGGCGCCAGGCTGCGCAGCCGACGGTGCCGCGTCGCTCGCACGCCGCGTCAGTGGCTGGCGCGTCGAGCTGAAGGCTCGACGCTCCAGCCACACTCGAGCTCCTCCCACAACCTCCCTGGACAGACTACATGGTGGATGCGGCCGGCATCCGCCTCGGTGTAGCCTTCACCGCAGCGTACGTAACGGCATGGCGTGCTGTGCCTCACGCCCACCGGGGCGTCGGCCTCCTGGGGCGGGTAGGGCCGCACCCGTCCCGCCAGGCGGCCACATCCGGTGCCCGCCCGCTGGTCTGACGTAGGACTGCACCCGTCCCGCCAGGCGGCCACATCCGGTGCCCGCCCGCTGGTCTGACGTAGGACAGCACCCGTCCCGCCAGGCGGCCACAATCCGGTGCCCGCTCCGCTGGGTCTGACGTAGGACAGCACCCGTCCCGCCAGGCGGCCACATCCGGTGCCCGTCCGCTGGTCTGACGTAGGACTGCACCCGTCCCGCCAGGCGGCCGACTTCCGGTGCCCGTCCGCTGGTCTGACGTAGGACTGCACCCGTCCCGCCAGGCGGCCACATCCGGTGCCCGTCCGCTGGTCTGACGTAGGACTGCACCCGTCCCGCAGGCGGCCACATCCGGTGCCCGTCCGCTGGTCTGACGTAGGACTGCACCCGTCCCGCAGGCGGCCACATCCGGTGCCCGTCCGCTGGTCTGACGTAGGACTGCACCCGTCCCGCCAGGCGGCCACGTCCGGTGCCCGTCCGCTGGTCTGACGTAGGACTGCACCCGTCCCGCCAGGCGGCCACATCCGGTGCCCGTCCGCTGGTCTGACGTAGGACTGCACCCGTCCCACCAGGCGGCCACATCCGGTGCCCGTCCGCTGGTCTGACGTAGGACTGCACCCGTCCCGCCAGGCGGCCACATCCGGTGCCCGTCCGCTGGTCTGACGTAGGACTGCACCCGTCCCACCAAGCGGCCACATCCGGTGCCCGTCCGCTGGTCTGACGTAGGACAGCACCCGTCCCGTCAGGCGGCCGACGTCCGGTGCCCGTCCGCTGGTCTGACGTAGGACAGCACCCGTCCCGTCAGGCGGCCGACGTCCGGTGCCCGCTCGCTGGTCTGACGTAGGACTGCACCCGTCCCGCCACGCGGCCACGTCCGGTGCCCGCTCGCTGGTCTGACGTAGGACTGCACCCGTCCCGTCCGGCGGCAGACGCCGGGCGCCCGCCAGCTGGTCAGACGCATCACACGCGACCTCGACTGACCTGAGCGTGGCCGTGTCGACCGGCTCCACGTAAGACTCCGGCAGCCAGCCCACGTGACCGTTGACCTCGCCCTCCAGCCAGTTCGGCTCCGGGTTGGCGTCCAGATTAATCTGCAACGGTAGCCGACACTGGGTCAGAACCGCGCGCGTCCACACCGGTGATAGGACGTCAGCAACACTGTCGTTTTGTACTAACAGCACGAAGTCCGCGCTTAATTCATGAACATCACGTACACCAATATTATCAGCGGTCCGCAAATCCCGACAACGCATCAGCTATCGAAAAGCAATAACAGCATAGGATGTACACTCGACCCACAAGCACCGCTCGCAGAGCAGGGTGAGGGGTACTGGCTATCTTCCACCGACATCTTTGACGAGTGCTCTTGAATCTGCAGCCGTCCACCCGCCACAACAGACGCCTGCTACCGGAGCGGGAGGCCACAGGGCTCAGGCGCCGCGCGCGAGACACGCCGGCCGCGCTCACCACGACAATGTCGCCCGGCTGGAACGAGACCTCGTCGGCGGAGCGGCCCTGGAACTCGTACAGCGCCCGGTACGCCACCTTGCGGGACCCCTCTGCAACAGCAGGCGGAGGCGACCGTCCAGACGGTTCGGAACTGATAGAGGAGTGGCTTTCGCGAACGGCCGGCGTCGGTCAACACACGGCGGAATAGTGGGCTGATATCGTACAACACACCACTGTTGACCGCTGACGAGACAACCCATGGCAAAAAAAAACTGACGACAAGTGCCAAGCAATCGCATGGTGGCAAACCTGTGCTGACGCCACATATGCGTTGTTTGTTGGTTATCGGCGTATCGCTATGAGATTACCGCTGTCCCATCTCAAACAGGACAAACGTCTGCCGCATATCCCACCCTATTGAGGCCCGCTGCCAGACACGAATCGCTGTCCTTAACATGAATATGTCCTGAGCAATACCACAATGCAGCCCAATGATCACGCTGTAAGATGGCAACCTTTAATTACACATCCCAAACGCACTATTTTCTGATTCGATTCATACGTCTGACCTGCTTTGTAAGGATGCCACGCACACCTCTCCTCTCTGAGACGGCAGTGCTACTCTAGTATCTTATCGAGATCATCATCCGGGGGATATTCCACCTGTCATACATGCGTAAACATTCCCTTCTCTCGCGGCATTCTTCACCGGGGACTACGCACGCGTGCTGGTCCAAATCACAGGGCTAAGTACACACAACTAACGTATCTAACGGCAAGGGCCACATTCCCACGCCTATCGGAGGGGTTATGAGAGCATGCACGTGTCTCCCGCGTCACCTCCGGCAGTCCGCCGCCGTCGCGTCGCCAGGCGGTGCTGCGGCCGCGCCTCGTCGACCGCCTGCGCGGCGGCTGTCTCACCGGCGGGCGGCGCGGCGGCGGGGGCGGCGGCGGGGGCGGGCTGCGACGCGGCCGGCAGCCACGGGTCCGCGGCGGCCGGGGACGGACCGGCGGCCGGCGGTGCGCCCCAGACGTCGGCGGCGACCGAGGAGGAAGCGGCCGGCTGGCGCGGCGCGTCCCAGGCGCTGCTGAAGTCGGCCGCCCAGGCCGCTGGCTGTGGCTGCTGCTTCTGCGGCGGCGACGGTTGCGCTGCTGCTGCTGTTGCTGCTGCTGCTGTGCTGCTGCTGCTGCTGCGGCTGCTGGTGGTGCTGCTGAGCGGCGCGCGGGCGGCGCTGCTGGCGGCGCGTGCACACATCGAGTGAGGCGGCGCCCGTGCACGGCACACAGAGTGCGGTGCGCGGCATACCCGGCGAGCTACACTGGGCGGACGGGGCATTCTCGCCCGCCTACACTGACTGACAGGCTACGGTGCCGGGAGGGCTCGCTAGCTATGGTACGGGGCCGGGACCAGGGCGGGGCGGGGCGGGGCAGGCGGCCACTGACCGGCGTCCGGCGGTGCGGCGTCCGGGCGGCGCAGCTCCAGCACGCTGCGCCGCTTCAGCTCCCACTGCGCGTGCACCTCCTGGCAGCCGGCCACCAGCGAGTTCAGCACGTCCTTCATCTCCTTCAGCTGGTCCAGTTGCGCCTCCAGCTCAGCCTCTTTCTCGGCGCACTGCAGCACATCGCGCGCGATCTATTAGCGACACATCATCTGTGGCTAATCATAATCACGCCTGATCTGGCATGCAAGGAGACGACCTGCCAGCTCATGAAACAGTCGCGACCGAACACTAACGCTAGCATAGGATAGGCAGCAACCGTTTCTATGTATGGCCCTGCATATTCAAGCGCATTAATTTCCGTCTTAATAGAATTATCCCCTGAACACTTCCCGAACTATTCATGATCAACGCTGCTCGAATCACGTGAACCAGAAACATACTGCGCGGAATCGGGACACAAGCGACAAACGGCACCGACCCAGCACCAAGCACATTCCCCCTGCTCATGGCATATAGAGCCGGCCAGTGGGAGGAGGGAGTCCGCCGGGACAGACAGGGAGGTGGCACCGGCCCCACCGGGGAGTCGCCGGCCTGTACGCGCTCGCGCAGCTGCTGTATGATGTGTCTTGCTGTCGTAGTTCATGGCGACGCTCTCGAGGCCGGCCTGCACCGGGTTGTTGGCGTCGTTCAGCTTGTTACGAGCCTCCAGCTGAGCGCGCTCCTGTGAGCAGGAGCAGCAGCAACGGTCAGGGACCCAGCCACAGGGGCAGGAGCATGGGTCCGGAACCGCAGCAGAGCAGGAGCACCGGTCAGAGACCACAGCAGGAGCAGGGACCGAACAGGGACCGCAACAGGAGCAGGAGC